TGTCTAAATAAACTGTATTGCTAATTTGCATGCATCCGATAAAGATAGACGATGTTTTCATGTTGCATGATCGATCATATTTGAAATATGAATAGTTAGGTTATGTTAAAGCAGGTTAGGTTGTTTTCTAATAATACTTTGGTCTTTGGTGTTCCTGTCTTAAGGTATTCTACTCACAACTTTTTTTTTTCAAAACAAAAACTCCCCACTAAAATTATTATTAAGGTATCACTCAAAACCATAAAAATAAAAATAACACTGATCAACAGCCAAAAAATATCCTAAATAAAATCAACAAAATATTACTATTTTTAATGTGCTAAAACCGGAATGAAACTTATTTTTTCAATATTAGTTCAAGTTTTAGAGATACGGTAATTATATGTGTGCCTGCTGTGACAGTGTTAATATACTGTAATTCACAAGAATTCACGTGCTACATTTTATATTCGGCAAGGAAAGATGATGTAATCGGCATGATTGTGTTACGTTATACATACGTGTACATTATATTGTTTTATATTAGGTATTTTTTCCTCAGTTGGCTGACAGCGTTCATGCAAGATGTCTCGAAAGTGTGTAAACAATCCAGATCAGTTTTGTTACGTGTGTTGTGATGTGACTTTTGCGTCTCAGAGACGGTCTATTACTCCACTAATAACAAAGGCATATCAGCTTTATTTCGGTTGTAAACTAGGTGATCAAGACAAACAGTGGGCACCCCACATCTGCTGTAATACATGTGCTTCAAGTCTGAGGAGCTGGTTAAATGGCTTTGCTGTCCCAATGGTTTGGAGAGAACCTACAAATCATATTAATGATTGTTACTTTTGCATGGTACCTTGTGTTGGACAAGCCACAGGTATGTCCAAGAAAAAAAAATCGGTTATTAACTACCCAAACATACCATCTGCGATGAGACCTGTGCCTCACAGTGACGAAAATCCTATTCCAAAACCGCCAGAATCCTACACTTGCGAATCAGAAAACGAATCAGATCATGGCGATCGAGTGATTCATCAGGAAGAAGATATGCCATCAACGTCAAGAGATCCTGATTTTATACCGAGCACGTCATGCCACCAACCGCACAAAGTAACACAGTCAGAATTAAATGATCTTGTAAGAGATTTAGAACTTCCAAAATGTAAGGCAGAGTTACTTGGATCAAGATTGCAGCAGTGGAACTTGTTAGAAGACGATGTTTCGGTATGTGTTTTCGTAAACGCCACAAAGACAGAACCATTTTTCAATATGGAGAATAACTTGGTTTTCTGCAGTAACATTAACGGCTTACTGGCGGTTTTAAATATAAACTATAACCCAGAAGAATGGAGATTGCTTATAGACAGTTCAACATTGAGTTTAAAGGCAGTGTTACTGCATATTGGAAATATTTTACCATCTCTTCCTGTAGGGTATGCAGTTCACATGAAAGAATCATATGACAATATGAAGTATCTATTGACATGCATAAAATACGATGAGCACCAATGGCATATTTGTGGCGATTTGAAAGTTGTTGCACTTTTACTTGGGCTGCAGCTAGGCTACACAAAGTTTTGCTGTTTTTTGTGTGAATGGGACAGTCGGGCAAAGGCACTTCATTACACCAGACAAAACTGGCCTGTTCGTCAATTCCTAGAGCCAGGTCAAAAAAATGTACAGCATATGCCATTAGTAGATTCGAAAAAAATTTTATTACCACCACTGCATATCAAGTTGGGCCTAATGAAAAACTTTGTCAAGGCATTAGATAGAGATGGGTCAGCTTTTCAATACCTGCGTCAGAAATTTCCAAGACTAAGTGAGGCAAAGGTTAAAGAAGGTATTTTTGTTGGGCCACAGATTCGAAATATTTTGAAAGATACACAGTTTGAAAACACTTTAACAGGTATTGAAAAAACTGCTTGGAATGATTTCCGTCTGGTGGTCACTAATTTCTTGGAAAATGGAAAAGCTGACAACTATAAAACCCTTGTCAAAAATATGCTGTCTTCGTATCAACAGATGGGCTGTAATATGTCTCTCAAGATACATTTCCTACACTCACACCTGGACTTTTTTCCTGACAATTGCGGAGCCGTAAGTGATGAGCACGGCGAACGTTTTCATCAGGATATTTCAACAATGGAAAAAAGGTACCAGGGAAAGTGGAATTCTTCCATGCTTGCAGACTACTGTTGGACTCTTGGTAGAGATGCTCCAGAAACGATCCATAAAAGAACAGCAAAAAGGCAGCGCATATAGTGATTCTTATAAGTATATGAATCTTGTTACTTTTTTTAATATATCCTTAAAAATAAAGTTTTTTTTCTAAACCGCAACTAATTTTTTATTTCAATGTCATTTTTGGATTCAGCGCCCCAAAATTAACAAAGAAGTGCACTTTTCCCACAAGATACAATTAAAAAACTAAAATTTGATGCCCAGTCCAATAATTATTAGACAAAGACAAACAGAAATTTATTGTCTAAATAAACTGTATTGCTAATTTGCATGCATCCGATAAAGATAGACGATGTTTTCATGTTGCATGATCGATCATATTTGAAATATGAATAGTTAGGTTATGTTAAAGCAGGTTAGGTTGTTTTCGAATAATACTTTGGTCTTTGGTGTTCCTGTCTTAAGGTATTCTACTCACAACTTTTTTTTCAAAACAAAAACTCTCCACTAAAATTATTATTAAGGTATCACTCAAAACCATGAAGTAAAATGAAAATAAAAATAACACTGGTCAACAAAATTTTAACTTTGTCGTGCCACACGGACTTTTTTGATATTTTTTACTTTAATTGGTGATTGTAAGAAAAAATAAACAGTTAAAAAAATTTGCTAGACAAGGATTTTATTCTATTGAGTAATTTAAAATATTAAGAAAAAACACAGATCTCGTAAATCAAAAGTTATTTTTTTTATAAATGATTAAGATTTTCTTGAATATTTAGCTTCTGGTTGGTCCCTTTTAATTGTCCAGCAGTAATCTGCTAACATATTTGGGCTCCATTTGCCCTGGTACCGCTTTTCCATATTAGAAATGTCCTGATGGAACCTCTCACCGTGCTCGTCGCTGACAGCCCCTAAATTGTCAGGAAAAAAATCCAGGTGCGAGTCTAAAAAATGGATCTTAAGTGACATGTTGCAACCCAATGCTTGATATGACAATAATAGCTCACTAACCAACTCTCTGTAGCTGTCACTCTTGTGGTTACCCAAAAAATTTGCAACAACATTTTTAAAAGCCTTCCATGCAGATGTTTCTCTCTCAAATCTTGAATCTTTTATTAACTCCCTAATTTGAGGGCCAACAAAAATACCCTCTTTTATCTTTGCATCACTTATTTTAGGGAATTTTTCTTTTAGATACAAAAATCCACTCCCATTGCGATCTATTGCCTTCACAAAATTTTTTATTAATCCTAATTTGATATGCAATGGTGGTAGAAGCACATTATTTGGCTGTATAAGGGGTAAATACTTTACGTTTTTTTGCCCAGGAACTAACGATGCACGCGTAGGCCATGTTTTTTTTATATAGTGATTAGTTCTGTCTCGGCTATCCCATTCACATAAAAAGCAGCTATAACCCAGCTGAAGTCCAAGTAATAGTGCAACAACTTTAAGATCCCCGCAGATTTTGAAGGAATATGTACTGTAATTTATTTTTTCAAGTAAAAGTTTCATATTTTCATAGGTTTCTTTCATATTTGCAGCATGGGCCAGAGGTACAGACGGAAGCTTATTTCCATTATGCAATAACACTGCTTTTAGACTTGCTTTCGAAGAATCAATGAATAAACGCCACTGAGAGAGATCAAAATCTATGTCCAACATTTTCATAATCTCATTTATGTTATTGCAAAACACCAAATCTCCATCCTGAGAAAAATACGTTCTGAAGTGTTGATCACGGTTTCGAAAATAGCTAACTTTTGTATTATGATGTAGCAAATTCCATTCTTTTAGACGTGATCCGAATAGTTCTGACTGCTTTTTTGACAAATTTAAATCCCGAACCAAATCATTTAGGTCTCCTTGAGTTATCAAATGTGGCTCGTTTACAATTCCTTTTAACTCAAAGTCATCGTCCTCGTCAACACATTCACCTGAAGTGGACGGTTGTGAATTGTTCTCAACAGACGTAGTTGCAACTGGTATTAGTTCTGGCAATTTTTTACAATGAGAGACTGGTCTTATAGCCGAAGATAAGTTAGGGTAAATAACTGTGGTTTTTTTCTTGTAATTTATACCTTTTATGTCTGTGAGACAAAAATAGCAATCTGAAACGTGATCTCGCTGTTCAGTCCATATCATGGGTACAGCAAACGGCATAGGTCGTGCACCTTTCTTCCAGTCAGTTAAATTTTTCACACACGTTATGCAACACACATGAGGGGCCCAGGATTTGTCTTGATGGGCGACAGAAAAACCAAAACATTGGTGATAACACTCCAACACAAGATTCGTAAAATTTCGTCGTTGTTTTTTGAATGTTAGTTCTCCGCAGACATAACAAAAAGAGTTAGGATCATTATTACACTTCCTCGACATATTCACAGGGTTAATAAATCACAAAAAAGTGTTCAAATTCAACAACAAATATTTTTTTAAGGATTTACTTGTAAGCGTTTCTTTTAATTTACTGCCGTAGTACTAGTTATGAGTATTACCGTATCACATCAAATATGAGGCTAATAGACATATGACAGCTGACATGTAATAATGAGGGTAGACTGATAAAACAAAATTAGCTGTCAAAGTTCGTGTGGCAAAACCAGTGTTGACCAGTGTAATCAGTGAAATAACCTAACTTCGCAAAATCATAATATAAATTTGTTGTCATTATGTTACTGACATCGTGATTTTATCATCGACGTACGTCCATTGATCAATTCATTACAATTTATGGTGTGACGTAATAATCATCTTTCATGATTTTACAATATTTCACGGTGACAGCGACAGTTCCATCCTAACATGTGACATATTTTTTCCAGTGAATATAATCGCCATCACGGACGGCATAACCCTAGGATGGACCGCACCTCTGATCCCGTACCTCATCAGCGACGAATCCCACATCAAGATGACGATCCACGAAGCGGAAATGATAGAAACCTGGCTCCTTTACGGAGCCATCACTGGTCTTCCGATCACCATGCTGCTCGTAGACAAAATCGGACGAAAAAAATCGGTACTAGTGTCTTGTTGTGTCCTCGCTGTATGCTGGATTCTAGTAGCTGTAGCGACGAATGTTAGTCTTATATACGGTGCGAGGTTTGTGATGGGTCTAGGACTCAATATGGCGTATGTAGCTATGCCTATGTATGTCGGTGAGATATCGCATAAAAACATACGCGGGCTCTTGTCTAGTTTCACTTTTATATTCATGTTGCTAGGGGTACTGATTATTTACTGTGTAGGGCCGTATTTTTCGTACTATGTACCTCCGATAATATCGATAACTTTGCTAATCATACAGTTCGTCGGATTCATTTTTATGCCAGAATCGGCGTACTATCTCCTTTCTAAGGGCAAGGAAGAAGACGCGAAAGCGTCCCTGAGCAAGTTCAGGAACAACATAGGCGTCGAAGAAGAATTTGCCGAGATGAAAGAAACCAACGAAAAGAATAAGACAGAACAGGGAAGGATACAAGATATATTTTTAGTGCGCAGTTACAGAAAAGCGATTTTGATCATGCTTTTCTTGAATCTATCACAGCTTCTTAGCAGCTACGAAATTTTGCTGATGAATTTGCACAATATTTTAGAGACGGCAGAGTCCAATTACATAAGTCCTTCGATAGTAGGCATTGTGTTTTCGGCTGTCACGTTGATAGCTGCTGTGTCAGCAGCTACAGTGATCGACCGCTTTGGAAGGAAGATATTGATGATTATCTCCAGTTTTCTCACGGCTCTGTGTCTACTAGCCGTTTCCGTCTATTTTCATATGAAGTATCTCGAGTATGACTTGAGTCACATCAGCTGGTTGCCGACGGTCGCCGTAATGGCGTACGCGGTATCGTTCAAATTCGGACTAGGGATCGTTCCGATTGTTTTAACATCCGAAATATTCGCGCCGAAAATGAAAGCGATAGGTATGACGCTAGCAGACGGGATGTACGTCGTTTCTTCCATAGGGGCGTTACAGCTGTACTTTTTTTTGAGAGACGCGTACGGGATACACGTGCCATTTTATTTGTTTTCATTCTGTACGTTCCTCGCAGGACCGTATGTGTGGTTGTTCGTGCCGGAGACAAAGGGAAAGACTTTAGACGAGATACAGAACGTTTTGAAAGAACCGAGGATCTTGATGATAGGGAGAAGGGGTTGAATACGGTTTTATCTCAAAGTGAAGAATGTACTTTTAACTTACGGTTTAAATTGTGACGTATATCGTTTTACTTCAGTGCCTGCTAGCGAGGAGGTAATGTAATCGCGAACAATTTCGAAAATGAGATATGTTTTTTGGAGATGAACCTATCCAAAGTAGAGGTTTGTGGCAGAAACAGTTCGTACTAATACGGCTAGAGAAAAACCTGGAAAATATTCGAAAGTTTCTGAAATGGCCGCCAGGGGACGTAACTACTGTGTTGGGTCATCTATAACTTTTTTCTATTTGAAAAATCAACACGCTTTTCACGAGGTGAAATCGAATTTTTGTATTGATAAATGAAGGTCGGTTTATGCCATTTATGTATGAAAAATAACATAAGTCATGCGACCACCGCGGCTTCGTTTACAGGCCAAATTTTCAGTGACTTTTCCCAGAATAATCCGGTCAATTTCAGTCCGAATATTGTGCTTTAGGTCTTGAATTGTCCGGGGAATATTCGCATACACTTTTCCTTTCAAAAATCCCCAAAGAACATAGTCAAGAGGTGTTTCTATGAATCGGCTATATTAATCTAACAACTGATCTTCACTAACAGTATATACAAAAAAGACAATTAATAGAAGCAGGCCATGAAATACAACAAAACAAATACCTAATCAAAACATAAATCGGGCGGTGAGCTATGTATACTTTATCTGAAGTCACTTGAAATAGCATAAAAACCTTTGGTCGGCGCGTCCTTTGTAATTTCATGACGTATCACAGGCGTGCGGTCATTTATTTAGAACGATAATAATAATGTTTTTATATCACAATAAATGGATTTTCCTATCTTCTTATTTTTTTGATTTGGGATAAAAAATACTTATATTGGGAGTTTAATTTATGTTGACTGAAAGTTAAGAAATGGAAAAATTACAGAATTCCAACGTTTGACATAGGCAAATATTTACATAGCAGGTAGGTATATAAAAAGGTATATAAAGACTTACATTATAGGTATTTATATATCATCCTCGCCTTCGGAGCTGTCGCTAGAGTCATCTTGTAGAGGAATTACAACGGGATTTACAGGAGGCAAAACACAATATTCATTTTCTTTTTCAATAATATGCCTAGAACACTGCTTCCATAGGTCTGTGGCAGCAATATGAGATACTGCATCTCTTATTGTGGCCAATAGCGATTCACTTAATTAAGGGGTCTGATTATGTTTTCTTACTTTTTTTTTAAGGCAGCCCAGACCAACTCAATCGGGTTAAAAATGCAGTAATAGGGAGGTAGACGTAATACTTCATGGCCATTTTGCTGAAGCAGATTGTCAACAACATACTCTTTTTCAAATTTTTGTCTTTTAATAAGATCCAATAATATGGCTTTGGTTGATTTTTGTGGTATTTCCATTCCCTTATCCTTCATAAAATCAATAATGTCTTGTTTTTTTGTGCCTGTATTCGGAATTTTGTTTTTCTGTCGGGAATGGTATGGCGCATTGTCCATAATAATCACTGAATTTGGGGAAATGTTTGGTATTAACTGCTGCTCTATCCACTTTTCAAATAAGTCGGAGGTCATGTCCTCATGATAGTCTGCACATGATTCTTTGATATTTTTGGCAGATAACAGCAAGGCATTAGGTATAAATCCATTTTCACTGCCAGCATGGAGAATAATGATTCGTTTTCCACGGTTGCATGGTGCATTTAAAATGCACTTGTTGCTGTCGTCAACCCAGCCGTACTGCACAACATCATGGGTATCATACCACGTTTCATCCAGGTAAATCAGATTTCTTTTCTGCTCTCTATAAATTTTAACTTTGTGCAAAAATTCTTGGCGCAATTCAACGATTCGAGACGACTCCATAATCAACATTCTTTTATCTAATTTTTTGTATTGAAAACCACACAGTTTTACAATACAGTGCAGTGAGTCTAAGCATTTGTAATTATAAAAATCTTCAGGATAATCTTTTAATTTATCCCGTATCATTTCCAACGTGGGCACCAAATTTTCTTTATAAAATCCGTATATTATACGACGAATATCTTCCTGAAAACCCACGTCTATTCTTTTTAATTTTTGCCCTATGCGCTTTCTGTGGAAGGAATGGTTGACTACATCTCCCCTTTTTATAACCCGATAAATGGTAGACCGACTGATTTTTGTCAGGATACAAATTCTGTTTAAAATTTGATTTTGCGAGGAATCTGGATTTTCGTTTTTCAGACAATCATACATATTTAGGATTACTCTTTGGGTCTGTTCCTCTAAATCTTTATGAAAGAATTCTGCCTGCACAGGTTCATCAACCCATCTCCTCGTGGCTTGGAGCATTTTCCCAAGGTCTCCAAAGAGCCATATTTAGGACACACAAGAACAATCAACACAACAATTAAATCAACAAGTAAACTGAGTATTCAAAAGTCAAAAACACACAAACTAATAAAATCTATGAAAAAACACGGACAGACTAAAGAAAACACGTTTATTCACCGCTACACGGCACTGGCTAAACTGTTTCAATTTTCAGTAGCCACCTGCACTTGTTCGGAGCTCTGAAATACACGCTTTCTCATTGGCTATGTCCACGCATAGGCGTGCTTTACTCCACGTGGACCGGTGAAACTGCCTTTGATCTTATACGGGGGATATTTGCTGCGAAATTTGGCGATTTTTGCAGCAACAGAGCGTGTTAAATATAGATATATAAAACGCACCCGGTATTTCACAGTGTTTCAAGTGACTTCAGATAAAGTATACTTATCGGATCGCCTTCGAATGACTTGGAAAGTTCTGCTGGAATTTTGATGAAATTCTTAGAAAAGGTTACTACTATCCCAAGCACGAAAAAGCTTTGGAGTTTCTGAAAATCGCTCTAGTAGCGGCGAATAAGAATGCCAAAAACGGAAAAAAAAATAAAAATCACAGAAGCATCCTGTTCATTTTTGGAAAAAAATTATGAGTAAAAAAAATTGGGGGTGGGGGGTTCGGGAGGCGGTAATTCTACGGGCCTACTAGACATATTTCACACACTTGCCCTTGAAACTTGAAAAGATACGAGGGACACTACAACAGAAGTCTACTCAGCCATGAAACAAAAGACGTACGATTTTTTTTAAAAACGGTCGTATTGTCAAACACTTCTCGATAATTTTTTTGTAGTTGATTGCTTTACGTAAATTTTTCAGCGAGTAGACGTCCGTATTTATTGTTTTTATTCTTTTGTGTAATATGATGGTTCAATATCCCCCAAATTTAGTGCTTTCGATAGCCGGCTTTGGAGTTACGATCGGTGAATTAGCTTTTTTTGACATTAAATCCAAAGCAGTTAATTTGACAGCTGTCAAAATGTGACATTATTCGGACATTTTTTTAAGAAAAATAAGGTAGCATGTATGACATGTCTCAATCGTCTTTTGTTTTCCAGCAACGCGCCTCAAATCTCATTTTTTTTATGGCCGCCATATTGGATTTCTGAAAAGAGTGTAAAATTTCCAGTCTAATGATGTCTCACAAGTGCATAAAAGATTGGAGTATCATCGAAATATCATCTGTAGATTGAAAATTGATTATCAAATTTTGGAAGTAAGGTTAGAACGCATGCCACTATTTGACATATATGCTTGTGCGATTCGATTGTTTTATCATGGCTAGGTAGATTTCTTTTTACTGTCCATCGTATTTTAAGCAGACAAATCGCGTACCTATCGATCGCATTTGGTGTGCGCCACAGGGTTGTAAATATTGCATCTTTGGTATTGCGTTCAATGAACTTATAAAAGCAAGTAGCAGACGGCGCGGTGATGCGATAAGCACATACGAGGTGGGCGCGATATTATTTATATCTATATATACGAGCATTGTACTATAATTTAATAGGCTTACTTGATTTCTTGAGGTAATATTATGTATAGTATATAAGTACGTATCATATTGTTGACAAAAAAATTTACACAGAACTCCAAAGAATTGAGGAGTATATATATAGACACGCTCATTGTTTCAATTTGAGGTAATTCGTTTTCATGGATGGTCCTGTAAAAACCCGCGACTCTTACAAATTGTTCTAGAAATTATTGTGAAGGCGTAGAAAATCAATCTACTTAACGCCATTTTTTATATTGTAGTTTTAGCATTCTCAAATTCATTTCGTTGTTGTTAAGCTGTTTTATTTAGGAATGTAAGTATGTAAATAGGTTTTAATAAGAGAACAAACATTCTGATGACCAATTTATTGATATGCGTAACAGGATGATCCTCGAACAAAAAATATAACCGCATTTATTTGAAGGAATTCATCGGGCAGATCCTCGAATCAATTTGTCAGTAAAATATTGAAGCTCCTCCGGTAATTTTCGACGTCAAAACATGTGACACTTTCGCCTAAAAATTCCTTTAAGTAAACAGTTTATAGATTTATTATTATACTCTAAAGTATATCCAGATATAGCGTCGAAATAAACGTAGATAGTAATGGGTGATTCATTTAAAGGTAGTTTTTTCTAAAGCATAAAAAAGTGAAGTTAGTCATAGCAGCGTTGAAAATCGCAGCGTTGTCCAATGGGTGGAGGATATGCACTAGTTGTACGAGCGATTTAACTTGTGTCAAATATGACGCCACTTATGTCTAAAAAATGTAAATGAATCACCACTTACAAACCTATTTCATCGTATAAATCATACGATTTGACAGGAATTCTGGCTGAATGTGTCGCGCTTTTTATAACGAATACCTACGATGACGCTGTAGCTCGACATCATGGTCGCCATATTCAGATTTACATTCATTATATCTGTGCATTTCGTTGGTTGGCATCATCTAGTTATTAAGGTACAATATTACTTTTTCTGTGATCATTAGAAGAGTTTTAGCATACACCTAAGGCCGCCAGTGATCTTTTATTTGAAGATATTTTAAGTTAATAAAATGATAACCCAAACTTCGTTCTTATTTATCAGTTGTTTTGGTATACCTAACTGTTTTTTAGAAGTTAGAATGAAAAACGCAATGGTTACGAAAATGTTAATAAAATATCTCGTTACCGATTATATCTGTATTTTTCCTGCGAGAAAATACTTGGGTACACTGTGTATTTTTAACTATATCAAATACATTCAAATAAACGATATCAAAGATCGGTATAGAGGGTGTTGCAGATGTTAAAATTGTCCAATGATAAGCCACTGGTTTTGACCAAAAACAGTGTCGTTTTCTCAAAGTGATGTTGATTATATTTGAAAAGTGAGATTTTCTAATAACGATAAACATTTTAATGTTCTGTCTAATAATTATCATTTCTATCTAGAAAAACTACGCGGCATTTCTTAAGTAGATCTAGCTTTGAAATAATGGTACTATTATTTTCGGCAAACCAGTGCCATGCAGGAAATGAAAGAGTCAACGGCCGCCATCTTGAGGAAGTTATTTTTAAAACTGGTTAAATGTCAAGTAGTATAAACCGCACATCACGGGTATGACGTATCTTGAAAAGTGACATTATGCCGTTTTTTTTGACATTATGCTGTTTTTTTTTTGACATTATTTAGGTTATTTTACAAGACGTTAACTGAACGTGTTGCCTGAACGTCATGAGGCTTGTTATCAATCTTTGGCTCTGATGTGATGTAAAATCTGCTTCTGAGATGGCGTTACTGGAGGTCTAAGGTCTGTAAGTTTTATGTGTTGACGATAATTACATTGGGTTCTTGTCTCTTAATTGAGATTCAAAGCTAGAAATTAGTTGCGCATCCACTTTTTCTTATCCATTCTGGAAATTACATATACAAATTTGCTGAATTTAAAAAATGAGAGAGATAAATAATTATAGTCACTATACACTGTCGAATTACAAGCCATATACATGCTAACAGTAATTACACACAACGCGGGCGCGGTGATGACTTACCGGAACTCTCCTCAGTTTTTCGTAATTTATAACTTTGAACATAACCTCTCTTCCGAAAGCACAACATATAAATAACCCTAGATATTCAGTAATGATTTTGTCACACAGCAAATATCACTGATTTTATACACATGCCGACCAATACACATAATCATCCAGATGCTATATTGTTATTCAACCAACTTTCTTCTCAGAGATAAAAACTACAGACACGGATCACTCAGCCTCACAAAACTATGCAACCAACAATGCGTGTAGTGATTCCTTCATAGATGGACGTTCACAACGATCCTAGTGAGCAAACGTGGAATGACTGTTTGCGTTTGCGCCCTAAAAACTACCTAGTCTGCAAGTTGACATCTTATAGGCTTTTTTAACGTTTTATAAGTTTTTTATATGATACCCGTGCCGATTTCGCTGGCGCTGTGACACCATTTAGTAACTTTGCAGAAAATAAAGAAAAATACCTTGCAATATAATTCTCAAGCTCAAAAACTGTTGTGACTGGACTAAACTCGCTAGGAAATCTACAAATAGCTCCTTCAGAAGCCGTTGCGCGAAAACCCAACGCGCATCCGGAAAATCGGGAAAATCAATATTCTAACCTCTACTGCAAAGTAGGTAGCACATATAAATATACATTTCCAGGAGTTTGTTGTGATGTCACTGATAAAACAAACTATAGATAACGTAAACTAGAAGTGAAATATGGTGTGCTGGAAAATCGCATCGCTTTGCTTCATAATTTGTGTTGTTTCCCATCAAGTATTATCAAAAAGCAATACTACTAAAGAAAATCACTTACCGCCGTGTCGAGCCTGTAGAAATTTCGTAGAATCTTTTAAAAGCGCGGTTCAAATAGTAACTAATAAGACCAAAGATGGCAAACAAGCACAGTTCGTAGAAATTACAAAAAAACTCTGCACCGAACAATCCGACAAACTGTGCGAAGAATTAATGGCAAAATACAGCGATAAGCTAGAAGAATGGTGGATTGAAGGCAAAGAAAAACACCCAAACGTTGAAAGTTTCATATGCATAGAAACATTTGAAGTCTGCTGCCCTGATTTACACTATGGTCCTGACTGTAAGCCTTGTTTAGGCTATCCTAACAATGTCTGTAACAATAACGGTAAATGCAAAGGCTCTGGAACAAGGAAAGGAAACGGTGGATGTCTCTGTGACCGAGGATACACTGGAGAATTTTGTGATAAGTGTTCGGAAAGCCACTACGAGGCATACAAAGACGATAAAAAGCTTATATGCGCAGAGTGTCATCTCTCTTGTGAAGGCCTTTGTACAAAAGCTGGTCCCAAAGGCTGTGCAAAGTGTAAACCAGGCTTCATAATGGACAAGGATAAAGGATGTTTGGATATAAATGAATGCGCTGCAAGAAAACGTCCTTGCACGCCTCTCCAATTTTGCGTCAACACTGAGGGAGATTATAGATGCTTGGATTGTGACAGATCTTGCGCTGGATGTTCGGGAGATGGTCCGGACATGTGTATAGATTGCGCCACAGGTTACGAAAAGAAAGACAAAATGTGCGTGGATAGCAGCGAACAGAGGCGGCAGAATTTCGTGTGGTATTCGAGATATCTGACGTATTTGGGGCTGTGTATTTCTACGTGTATCATTTTGAACAAGAATATCTACATTGCTGCAGTGATTGGTATGTGCGTGGGTGTTTACATTACTGTATCGGAGCAAACTTCTAGTCCTACTCAGAATCTTGAGCAGCAATTGGCTGACGAAATTGTAAATGCCCTCAATATCTGAACAAATCAATTTCACGATAAAATGACGAATTCCTCTCATCTCGGGCCGTTTCGTCAGTCGCATTTATGGTCTCCTTGATTTTCTTTGTCGTTCCTCTCCTTCAGAAAGGCTGGGGAATTTCTACATTTCTACTGTTCCGTGAGCGCTCTCCTATTGTGAGGCTTTCTTTTTGAATTGTTTGAAATGTCAGACTGATATAACAGATGATATATGTAAATCAAAAGCATGAACAAATTGATGCAAATAGATTTGTAACATAACCTCAAAATAAAGCGCTGACACGGAACAGTAGAAATCTAGAAATACCCCAGCCTTTCTGAAGGAGAGAAAAGACAACGAAAATCAAGCAGGCGCCCTACAATTGTAAGAACAAGTGACGATACGACACTTAATACCAGTTTTTACATCAACAATTTCTTCACGAGTTTACCAATGAAAAAAATTCATGGATTATCTGACACTACACAGTGGTACCAACCACATAAATTCTTGCTAGAAACATTTTGAATTTTTATTTGTTTTGATTGTAATTTTGAAGCGAATCTCATAAACAGAAACCATATTGTTGAATACTAGTACTATACTTGAATTTAAACGTTCAATATAATGGAAAGGAAAACAAGGTTGACACCATGGAACTTGGCAAAAATTAGCATAAGTTCTATTTGCGTGAAGAAATCCACGAAATTCGTAGATTTATAATACAAATTCCAGTTTGAAATTGGAACGAACTCAATTTATGAAGAAAACAGTGGATTTATTGTCGATGTAAAACCGATATAAGACCGTTTTTATCATTCGTCAAATTAAAAAATAGCTCAATGCGATGAGAGGTTATGGGCCCAACCACCATTTGCTAAACTTTTGTCAGTATTATAGTAGCAATATCCACTCTTTTTGTATTGAAAGCACTTTTTACTATCAAAGCTTTTGTGATTACTTATTACTGCATACCGGGTGAGTTTTTAGCGTACAATCGGACGATAATTTCATCATTTTAAGAGATATATAAAAGTTGTAAAAATCGTAGGCAAATTATACGCTCCCTTGAGCGGAAAACATGCCACTTTCTACAGGGTGGTTCATAACTACGTGGCAATACATACATTTTTAAACGGAGTACCCAATATATTTTGATATATTCTAAAACACATTTTGCCCAAAAAAGACACTCAAATTTGACAGCTCAAAGGTCACTCTTTGAGATACAGTAGCAAACTTTTCATCAGAATGAGCTTCATATCCCATATTTTCTCGTCATATGGACGTTTTTTTAAATTTCGAGCATCATCTTACAAGGTGTACATAGTATTGTAACGAAAACACCGTTTTTGCTATTTAAACTCTAATGTATTTTTATCACAAATGTATGACTGTGTCGACTGGACGATAGAATTCCGTGCTGCTAACTCATCATCCGTTGCCGGTCGACTCTGCCCTCTGTACATGTATTTATCTTCAAATCGACGAGTCCAGTAGCATTCCCTCGTTTTCTAGGCCGATCTCGAGCCGTCATCAAAGCTGGAAAGATGGCGGACGGTACTTCCCGAATGTTCACGATGTGCGGTCGTGTAATTCTGGTTGCCTAAACGTCTCATTGTTAGTCAAAGCTAACAATATACTAAAATGTATTCCTCCATTTAAAAAAAATGCACGGACTTATGAATATAACCCTGCAAAGCTGCATATTTTTAAAATAAGAAGCGTGTGTTTACCTATAATTTTTGTAGATACACTATATAACAATGGAGCTATCGACCAATTATTCTCATTAAAAACTCGCCGTGTATTGCTCACTGTTGCTCAATATGTAGGATCCGTGAGCGTTTAGGTTTGATTTTACATAGATGAATTGTGTTTGTGAAGAGATTTTAAGGTTATGCACAAAAAATGACTGATATCTTAAGTTGTATCTGTGACACTCTGATAATGTTACTTATCTCAAATATACATATTCCTAGTCAAACAAAATACATTGTAGTTATTTGCCTTCACACTACTCGAAATTCTAGTTTTTATAAATGAGAAAATGTAGAGGTTTGTTACACAATCACACCAAAATTGCTGATCCAAATGAAATTTGGTACGGAGGTAAAGTATGGAATAGCGTATGGCTACTTTTTATCCTTCGAAATATCCATTCACAGATTGCAAGCCAAACCGTTTAAAGAAAATTTGACGTGGAAGCGCTCAGTCGATGGTCCGACCGAAATGAGCAAGGGCATTTGCAACCTGCATTTCGATATACGCTTTCTTAAAACGATATTACAGTCCGAAATATCATTGCATGCAACTTCGATTTGCTGTTACAGCGTTTTTAAGCTAATTAAGTTTAGGGCCGTCAGGTGTTCCTACAATTGTAGGACGCCTTATGTCCTTGATTGTCAGTCTTCTCTCACTTTGAGAAAGGCGGGGGTATTTCTAGATTTCTATTGTTCCGTGTCAGCGTCATCGATTCGTATTGTGAAGCTATTTTTTCTTTTTGAATTATAGGAAATTTCAGGCCGATATAACAAATGAAATAAATCAAAACCATGAATAATTTGATCCAAATATATATGTATTTGTAACATAATCCCAAAATAGAGCGGTAGCACGGAACACTAGAAAGGCAGAGGTATTTCTAGGTTTCTACCGTTCCGTCTCAACGTTTTATTTTGAGGTTATGTTACAAATATCATTTGCATCAAATTTTTCATGCTTTTCATCATCTGTTTTATCAGTTTGAAACTTTCCTATATTTTAAAAAGAAAAAAAAACCTCACAATAGGAGAGCGCTGACGCTGACGCTGAACAATAGAAATCTAGTAAATACACCAGCCTTTCTGAACGAGAGAAAATACTATGAAAATCAAGAAAGCCCTAAAAGGCGTCCTACAATTGCAGGAACGACTGACGATACTGCCCTTAGTCTCAAAACCACAACAAATTTGAAATTCAGCTTTTTTTTCAAAGGTTCCCAATTTTTACACCAAATTCTTTTCAAATTTCATTTTTTTTTCATATTTCCAAAATGTTTTCGGTTTCCAATTTTTTTTCAAAATATCGAAATCTGCAAATTATTTTCCAAATTTTCAAATCACTTTTTTCCCAATTTCAATTTATCAAAAAAATTCAAAATCGATTTTTTTTTTCAAAGATTATTGTACTGTCATCGGCTCTTGACCGCTATGCAATTTTCAGGTTAACTTCTTGAAAATGGTCGCATACAGATCAAGCTAATAAAAGCAAATTAAAAAGCTTAAATCGTGTGAGATTCAAAAACTATACACGCTCAGGTTTTCCTCGCAGCATTTAAATTTACTTACCTTAACTTAAAAACAAACAAAAGTACGATCGATATCGGTTAGGGAGGAAAAAAAACGATTTCAAGTTTCTCAATATATTTTGGTCATACCAGTCAGTGATATAAACTCAACAAAAATACACAATACATATAAATGCTAACACCTAAAATGTCTTTGGATATCGAACATGATATGAGACTCAAAATACGATGTTTATACCAACGTAGTAAATTGGTATTTTCGAATAGTAACTGTTAAAGTTACGCATATAATTCTTTGCAGCATTCACTGACTCATATTCTGTTCGCAAAGCCATAAATCTGTGAATCATTAAAATATAATATCCTAATAAAATGTCACTACTAACACCGCTAAAGTGTCTGCTCTAAAAACGTGATATATCGCATGGCAAGTTCTCTAAAAGAAAAATAGTGCACTTGTTTTGACAATCTAAGATTCAAAAAGAAAATAGTACAGTGAAGGACTTTTTACCTCAGGCTTGAACTCAGGCCTTATTTTATTACATAAGAGTCAATTATAAATCACAGGTAAGTAAATTCCAACCTTATTCTCTGAGCCGTATTGATTAATAAAAAATGTCAGGATATTTAGATTTTTGATACATTTCTTATTGTCTCGACAATGCACTCTCTTCGAATAGTAAAAAATTTGTTTCATAGATATTGGAACTTGAAAAAAACAACATATTACATGAGCAAAGACTAATAACTAACAACCCACCCTATAGTAAATCTGAGACTTAATAAAATAGACGTTTCCCAATATATCAAGTGATGTAATTTTCTCAGATAAATTGTACTTTCCTAGTACATTTCTCAAGTATTCAAAATGTCAGCTACGTGTTTAGAAAAGTTATTCCGATATAGCTGAAAATGATGCAATATTTCTTTCACGAGAGTTGATCGGAAAACTTGACATATTGCATATCTTCGCGCATAGCTGTCATTTTATAAATATATCTAGTACAGAATCGATTTTATTTAGGCTTCATAATAAAGAAATAAATCGTCCGAAATTATGATTGAAAATTTTCTCTAAATAATAGCAAGATATTTATCATTTGATGCTTCTCTGATATATGCTAAAATCACTATCTATTTATCTTTGACACGCTATCTTTATGACGGAAAAAAGAAGCATTCTTAGCATTTCGTTTTTGAAGATTTCTTTCTCAATGTGGTTCATCTTGGAATTCCAAATTTCGATGAGGCCTCTAGGCATTTGTAGATAGTTTTAGCACAATGATGTCCGGGAAATACGTATAAAAAAGAAACGACACGGCAAATGAAGAGCCTCGCAATTGAAGACTTTGAGCGATCGTATCAACAGGGGCGTTGGCAAAAGTGCAACTTGTCTCGGGAAGGAACAATTGTAAAATGAAGCTATTCCACTTTTATACGTATTTTCCGGACAAGCCTCGTATTACTCGCGTTGTTCGTCAAATACGTTGACCGCAGTGACGATCAAGGTTTGAAAGAAATAATCTCAAAAAAATGCGACGGATGTTTTTTGTATAAAAATAACACGATTACTTTTTCTTTTTTATGCTTTTGAAACAGGAACCACCCATTACTTTCTCATCAATATCTCCTAACTGAAATTACCACTAAGATCCCAAAGCTGCCAGACATTACTCATTTTCCGGAGTATTGAATAGTGCTTATGTTCACTTTCAACTGTGTACCTGCCAAG